AAAAAAAAAAAAGTGACACTATTAAAAAGTGATACAAACTCAAAAAAGTAACAAATACCAAAATAGTATCAATCCACATGCTGATTAAAAAATGATGTTTGTTACTAAAAAGAGTGACATTTTTAAAAAGTGATGGGAAAAAAGTAATAAACAATAAAAAAGGTGATAGAAAAAAGTGGCAAACATTAAAAAGTGACATGAATTTAAAAAAAGTGACAAAAGTTAAAAAAACTGCAAACATTCGAAAAAGTGACAAAACACCAATCGAAAAAGTGAACCATTCATTCGCAACTCTTCTTCTCACCCAACCCCCAGTTCTCTATCTAATTTCCAACCAAAATTGCTAGAAAACAAAAATAAGTGCTTCTCTCTTCAAAAAACTTGATTACCAAAACCATTATGTAATTGTTGATTTACTAGAAATCACAAAGTATAAATGCTCATATTCTAAAATAAACAATGCATCAAATCCATTCAATTTCTTTAGTTAGCGTACAACAACTTTACAACTGATAAACTATTATGATACTACAAGAAGATTACTCATTGAAAACAAATATATGCAAACACCCCATACAAGATTCATTGGATGATAACTACAAATTGCATTTCACATTCATAATCCTTACACATTTAAAACATAAATACGGAAAAGTGACAAAAGTTAAAAGACAAATGAAAACTACAAATTGCATTTCACATTCATAACCCTTACACATTTAAAACATAAATACGAAAAAGTGACAAAAGTAAAAAGACATGGCAGTCCCCAACCCAAGAGACGTAGAAAATTGCAAGTTATGCCTAGGAAATAATGCTGAAAATCTGGCATGCAAGATCACATGAATTCACCAACTGTCAACACAAGAAAATTGAACCTCTTCCCTTGAACTATTATCTTCAACAATAGATACACAATACATACACCTTCAAACGATGAAGTTGAAGCAAACACCTTCAACCAAAAGCCTAGAAAATCTGCAAAAACCCCAAGCACCCAAAGCTCCAAACAACAAAACACCCAGCACCCCAAATAAACCCAAGCTTGAATCTTACCCAAAAAAATCATCATCTTCATTTCTCATCGAACTCGATTTTTCATTTACCGAATATGAATGAAATTTGGGAACCTAGCATTTCGGGAATGATGAGATTATCCTTTTCTTGAGTCGGCCCTCAAGGCCTTTTGGAATGGGTTTCAGAGAGTAATTAGAACCGAAGAATAAGCTTAATTTTCTCAATAAGCATGAAGAAAAAAGTTGCCATGGTACTTAACAGCCTAAAATTGATCAAAATTTTAAACATATGCAAACATTATAATTGAAAAAAGTACGCGCATCTGAACATATCCACAAGCAGAACTGGTATTAGAAAAAGAACAGAAAAGGCAGTACTGGAGATGGCGAGAACCTGGGGCTTGGCCATGTGACTGCGACCCAATTTGCCAGTTTTTCCCATAGGTTCCGCGACTCTTGGCCACTCTAATCGACATTAAGATCTTATCCTTCGTGCCTTCAATTTCAGCCTTGCAAGCTCTCCGGAGCTCATCGTCGTCATCGGCACTCGATTTCGCCATTTCTCTCTCTAACTCGTCGAATTCTAAAGGAAATTTGAAATTGAATTACGCTTTGGGGATTGGGGCTTTTAGGATGTATTAATTACGTTATTAGATGATAAATTATTAATTAAACGTATTATTCGATTTCATTGATTTTAGGTCGTACTGGGCCTAATTTCCTCAAATATATAACTACTAACATTTAAAAATACACTTTCAAACTTGATAAACTTGTGGAATTCTTTGAAAAATCATGTAATATTAATTAAATACATTAAGGTCTCAATGATATAAAATTATAGTAATAGTTACGTACTAGTCACAATCACAGAACGTTATAGTCACAAAGACACTAAATGTAGATCACAAATCACATTTTTTAAGTCATATTATTTATTAGTCACAAATTATTCATTTTATTGGATACACTTACCCAAATAGTTGATCACAATTACTCAATAATTTATCACAATCCCACCCCTCCCCTCGCCTATTCCACTACCATAGACACCATCCAAAATGTCACCATCACTAGCATGCAGTGACACAGATGTATCCAAACGTTGTTGCCACCTCACCACTACCACCTTAACCAACATGCAGATCTGTACCTCGCCGCACCACCACCACGTGAATTTGTACATTCACCCGCACTATCACCACAACACAGTCACCCACAGATTTGGACCCCGCAACCCCACCCCCAAAACAATTACCACCACCGCTGTAAACGAGGTCAATTAAGGGGCACTTTAGGCCCCTCGTGGAGTCGTCACCCTTCACTATCCAAAACTTGATTTTTCAATAATAAGTTTTAAACCTATTTTTTTAAGTCGAAAGTTAAAAATTGGGGTACTTACAAAAATACCCTTAAAATTAGGGATGTTTTGAAAAATCATATGAAAATTTTTTAGGAAGTAGAAAATACTGTGTAAAATGAAAAAGTGACACAATGTCACTTTTTTCTATATATATAAATTGTCATTTTTTTACACTTTTTTAAAAAAAGTGACACAAACTCAAAAAAAAAAGTGACAAATACCAAAATAGCACCATCCATTTGTGCACGAATAATCATGTTCTTAAAATAATCACCACATTCAGGTCGATCCACATGCTTATTATGTTAGGAAAATATAACATATTATTTCATTTTTTTTATCTTCTTAAAAAGTGACAAAAAATTTTAAAAAGTAACAAAATTCAAAAAAGTGACAAATTTTAAAAAAGTGCCACAAATTAAAAGAAGTTATACATATTAAAAAATTGACAAACACTCAAAAACTAATAAAATTCAAAAAAAAAATGACAAACTCAAAAAAATGACGAAAATTTTTTTAAAAAAAGTGACAAACTTCCAAAAAAAAATGTGACAAAAATAAAATTCAGTGACTATTTAGGATATTAACCCACCAAATTTGTAAATAAGTTTGCACTAATAGTACCATACAAAACCACTAACATGATCCATTACCCCCACCAAATTTATCAACAATAGACAACATCTATCACCATATAAATAAAATAAAGGGAAAAAATACAAAGCTGCAATCGAACATGATTCTTGATAAAAGTAAACCGTTAGTGTCCCCCTAAAGTTTCATCTATAAGAATCAGCCAAAAGCTGCAGTATAAAATTAAAAAAAAAAAGGAAAAGATTTAAAATCAAGACTCTTGATAAATTATCCTCGTCTTCTCATCTCCACACACTGAATTTCCATTACCAAATTCTCAATGCATCGCCTTTTAGTATTTTTCTCCCTTCTATTCTCTTCTACTCATTTTTTCCTCGGCCCATAAAATCACCATATCCCTCTCCTCCGCCGTAGCGCCACCACTCAGCAACCAATGCTGTCAAACTTGAATTAAATCGACCGAAACTGATTCCCTTATAAGCAAAAATCATAAAGTTAGAAATTATTAATACAAGTCAAGAACTTATTGATTCACATCAAAATTCTGATTTTAAAAAAACCCCAGTCCAACTCTTGATCTTCAAAAATTTAAACGAAAAAATATCATGGACAGAAAACATTAGAAAGCTGGAAGAGGTAAGAAAAAGACAAAGAAAAGCATTATAGGTGAAATAAACCTGAAAATGATGGCAAGCACGAAAGTAAAAGCCGGCGTCAGGTTGCTGTAGCGCCACCACCCAGCAACCCATGGCAGAAGCTCAACCAACTCGTCATTGCATCTCTAACAAGAGCCCACCACCTCAATCACCCAAAAACCAACGTTTCAGTCACCAAAACACCCTTCTTTCCCCGGAGTTACGACGGCTACTTTGTCTCTCTCAGCTTCGGAACTCCAAGCTTCCTTCTCCTGATTTGGGTTTTCTGTATTTTGAGGTTTGGAAGTAATTGATACGGTAATTATAATTTTATTTAGTTTGAAGGGTATTAGAGCCTAATTTTCCCTTAAAAATTCATGTGTGCACGTAATTTTCACATTATTCATTGGTTGGCCAAAATAATGATGGACTGTTTTACTTGCTACAGTCCAATTGATATCTTTTGGCGAAAATTAGGACGTGTACCAGTTTTATTTCAGGAAATTGAATTATTATACTCACGAACTAATTTTATTTGGTTAATACCTTTACCTGTACAAAATGAATTGAATTGTACCGTTTATCTCAATTGTTTTGTATTTTGAAGTTAGTCTCAAACTGCATATGTATTGAATACTAGACAAGATTAACAGTACAAAAGAAAAATTCATCTTTTCATTTTTACTTTTTTCTATTAAAGAGTTGAGATAAAATTATAAACAATGATTTATACAAACTGCGGAATACATTACTCAAGATATGTACTGTTTTGTACATTACAAGCTCGAAGAAAACAGCGAACTTCAAATGTACCATGTTCTACACGCACAAACTCACATCCGGGCCACGTTTCTCAGAGAGAAAACAATGATATACCATTTAACGAGTTACATATAATTTAACTAATGAAATGGCACCTGAGGAAAATACCAAGCAGACGAAGAATGATAAACAATGACAAGTCCCTGCAGAGAAAATACAAAATTTAGTATCATAATATTGACTAAATCCATTACTACTCTAGTAGAAGTCGATCAGTGGTAGAGTCGGAGAGTTTTCTTCACCTTTTTCTAGAGGGTTTTTTTCAAGTAAAGGCAAAAATCCTATCTGCAATCTTTGTTCGGCAGATTGGACATTCAGAACATGCAAGGGAACAAGGTTTACACACTGCAAAGGAGTATCATATTTTATTATTGATTTATGGCGAAAAGAATTTTTTTAAAAAAAAAGTCCACGATCGCAAAGATAACTCACAGCAAAAATGGCGACAAGGAATAAGCATTGCAGCTGCAGGCGATTCAAAACATACTTTACAGACGTGCGAATTTGCATCTCCATTCCCAGTGTATCCAACTTCTTTCTCCTTCATCTCTTGAATCCGGGCCTGAATCAATACAAAAGGCACATCAAAATCATATTGTAGTTTCTGATTGTAGGAAGATAGACAAACACAATATTAGATTGTTTAAATGCAAAGCGTACTGGAAGTTTTATAGTCCAGATATTTATGTTTGTCATCTTTAACTTTATTTCTTTTAATTTTGAATTAAACGTCTATATTAAGAACTGAGGGGATACAAATTCAAATTATAAAGAAGAAAACAACAAAAATAAATGATAATCAGAAGAAGCTAAGGAGACCAGTTCACGAAATAACAAAGAAAATAAGAATGAAAAGAAAGCAAACAAGGACAGACGCAAATATTAATTACCTTCAAGCGGACAACAAGAGATTCTTCTTTGGAAATGTTGGAAACTTGGGTTGTATGATCTTTATCTTGCCTACCCTTGAGAATTGGATTCCTAAGGTCAGTATCATCCAATTTTAGATCATTTATACGATCCCTGACATCATTCTGCCTCCCATTAATCTTTGATTCCGGATCAACACTCCCATCTTTCTTTAGCTGAGCAACGAGAACCCACATGTTTGCCAAATCATTCTCCAGAGCCATCTCCCTCTTCTTGGCCTCATCAACCTTTTTCCTGTACTCGTCTTCCAAAATTTCCTTCTCAGCCAAGGCAGCCTCAAGAGCAATTTCTCGTTGTTTCCTTACTTGCAATTCCATTTTTAAATCATCGGGGTCAAGGTTCCAAGAGTCAAAGTCGTCACGGAACACTCCAGAAACATCATTTGCTCGACCATTGAGCCGACCTCTGCGAGAAGGCCTTTGGCCATCATTGTATTTGCGATTACCACCATTTTTAGAGTTCATCATCTCACGAGCAGCTTGTAATTCTTTTTCAAGTTTTGCATTATGTAATGATAGATTGGTAACTTCACCAGCTAAATTCTTCAGTTCAACTGCAGCAGCAGAGGCTAGTTCCTTTGCATAAGAGGCTTCCTCAGACAGTTTTTGATTTTGTACACGCAATCCACTATTCTCCTCTAAAATCTGAACATGTTCTAGCTTCAGTGTCTCATTCTCAATTTCCTGCTTAGTGCAGAAACATCATTGGTCAAATTGAAATACCAAAAGCACAAAAATGCACTAATCTATTTTTTGTGCAACAACCATATTGTTCTGGAACAGTAAATTGCCAGTGTATTTAGAAATAATTAGTGAAAAACCATGAGCAAAAACATGTACTGCTTCCAGATTAGAATATGAGACGTCATGTGCTTTCTTATACCCTATTAAATTACAACCACAGATCTCATAGTTAACAGATCACAGAATTTTACCTGAGACTGCATTTTCTTTCTCAATTCCTCAGCATATTCATCAGATACACTCTGTCTGGAAGAGGATAACGGATTGTCGCGAGAGTCTGAAGCTATTTGCTGTTCCAGGCAAATAATTTTCTCTTGCAGTTCCTTGTTTTCAGCACACTGATAATGATGACAAAAGAATCACCATATAAATAACAAAAGCAGAAGAACGAAATAAATACGGAAGTAGACAAAAGAACTTCTCACGGAAATATCTTGCGTAAAAGTTAAAGATTAAACATTATTCTTGACCTTGTTCTGCAGTTGGTCCTGGAGTATACGATTGTCCGCGGTTATAATCTGCATTTATACAATCAAAATGCTTAATGATGTCCCATTATAATGTCATTTTTTGGTTGGTAGGGGGGATTGGGGAAGGATAAGCAAATCGCATAATATATCTTTTCAGCAGATAAATCATAATAGAAAAAACCAAGAAGAAGGTGAAAGGAAAAACAAAAAGAAGAAGAAGAAACCTCAAGCTCAAAACCCTTCTCACTACTCTGGGCCATCAATTTCATGACTGTCTGTAGCAAAAAAAAAAAATTAAAAAGAAGTTTAACAACAGAAATGTCCTACGAACTATTCAATAACATAGTCATAAAATTGCAGCATGTAATTCTTTGGTGAGTGAACGAATTAGATGACCTGCTGCATCTCAACATATGATGCATTAGCAACTGAAGCTTCACCATTCGAAACAATACGCTGTTCTAAAACTCCCATTTGTTTTTTCTTTTCTTCGATCTCACGCTCTAAGTTCTGAATCTGTGCATTGAAACACAGGGAGATGTGTGAGTTTAACCATGCCATATTATTTTGTTGAACACATAATTCAAGTTCTTGGTATTCCACAACTTTAAAAAGAGTTCTAAGTCATATTCCATCAATGCTAAATCATCTGTTTGAAAGTCAATTATTATGTATGATATGCACAACTGATAATTTCAAAATTAATCTTTAATTAGGATCAAAATAATTATTCCGAACAAAATTCAGCCCCAGGTTGCGCTTCATTTTTCCAAATCTCATTTTCAGCCACAAATTCTTCCATAAAATAATATGTGCGTACACCAAAAACTTTTCCTTATCTTTCAACCTCACATTCTCCAAAAAATAACTATTCCAAAATACATTTTCTCCCAAAATCAAATTAAAGTGGAGCCCAAACAGGGGCTCAAAAGGAGATAAAATTGGAATTGTACAAGAAAAGTTTTTAAATTGTTAAAAAAGGAACAGTACATGGAAAGCCAACATAAAAGTTTAATGTACAACACAGTGGTGGGGAAGAATAAAATCTGTGGGCACATCCTTTGCTAGAAGAGTAGAACATACTCTACATGGCCTAGATGTCTAATACAACAGCAGAAGGGCAATAAAAGATCAGCAAATGCAAATGCATTGGTGCCAAAGCGTGGGGCAGTTCCAATCACATAGCGGTGCAGCATTCAGCAAGAGGCCAAAACACCAGGAGACGTAATGTTGCAATGCAGGATAGCATAAATTTTATGCAAAATATTGTGACAAGTAAATCAACTATATAACATTAATTACATAGTTTTGAGCAGAAGAAAGTAGCCACACCTGAGTTTTCAAACTCTCGGGATCATTTACAGATTGCTCAACCAGTCGCTTTAGGGTACTGGTGCCCAATGCAATCTCTCCAGCAAGCATCTTAACTTGCTCATTAAGGAGGTCCATTTGGTCTGACATTGTCATTCCATCCTATGAACAACAGGAAAAGTACATAGCAAGTGACCCTGAGCAACAGTTCCAAAACCAAAACACTGAGGCCTAAAGTAAACATGTCAAAGCTGTGCAATGTGCATACTTCAAGCAGTCAGCTTGAAATGTGAAAACATGGTTGCCTAAGACCAAGCGTGCATATAAGCAACACAATTAGACCAACACGGTTAAAAAGATCCTGCAAAGAGATGGTGTGATATCTGTACTCATAATATATTCAACTATTACCATGTGTACAAACATAAAGATGTGCACAAAATACACTATAGTATTGCATGAACGTAGAAACAAATTTTTAAGTTTAGAGAAGATTGAATTAAATATAAATTTCCAACATTAATGAATCAATATTTTTAAGTGCTTCAGTACATTTTAGTTTTAGATGATAATAACTCTTAAACTCAAGAGCCTAGAGTATTTCAAATTTGAGAAACAAAGGATTTGGAACATACTATAGGCAGTTTTAATGCAGAGGAAGAACCAATGATAAGTTCACCCGCTTGGGTTGTTTCAGTTAGCACACTGCCAGCTTGTGATATATCATCATTCCACTTGCTGGAAGATCTTCGGTGTTTAAAATCATTAACATCTAATGGGATAGAAAAAGCAGAAGATGAGGAGTCTTTCTGATTCTCGCCACCAAGGAGCAAAGAACCATCACATAGAACATCCAACTTCTGATTGACAAAGGAAAACAAACAAATAGTAAAATGAACAATAAATAATTAGTATTCTTCTAGACTGTAAGAAAACGTATGAAAAGTGATGTAATTAGTGTGCATTGGGACACATAATCAGGTAGAACCTCAACAAAGTAAGGTCTACGGGATATTATTCAAGAATTGTTAGAAGTCGAGTTTCATCATGAAGGGAAAAAGAAAGATCAGAATCCACATATTTACAACCATGAAGTCGAAGATATACCATTGTCGAATTTTTAACCAATGCCATTGATTTTACTGTACAAGAAGAATGAATAAACCCCAAAACATGCCTGCTAAAGAAAAAATCAGAGTAAGCCACCTACATTATCCTCAGAAGCAGAATGACTCCTATGGTGAGAGGGCACATCGCTCAGAATTCCTGGGATAGTATTTTTTGTAGAAACAAGAATTAACTTTGTTAGCCTCTGGATTCTGCTCATTAGAGCAGCCTTGGCTTCTTCTTCCTCCTCTAATCTAGATTGCATTCTCACTTGTCCTTCTTCTAACTGTATAACAAACACAGATTGCAAAGTGAAGTCAGATTAACAACAAAATTACATGAAATTACGTCAAACATCAAAAGGATATAAACCATAGTTAATTTTCACAATTTCTCTATCCTCTAATAGCATGGCTTTGCAGCCATTTAAAAATAAAAGAAAGTAGGCATTAATCAAATGTACCTGTTGTCTTAAGCTCAAAATTTCTTCATGACTAACACCAACAAGCATTCCTTTCTTTAGTTGATCAAGTTCTAGTTTGAGAGAAGATATTTCCCTTTGATACTTCTTGATCAAGGATTTTTCATCAATAATCTAAAACGTGACAAAAAAATAAACATCATCAGATTTTGTAACATAAATTATACTGTGAACTTTGTAACTGCAAGCTATGCTCAGCACACCTTATTGCGCGAGGCATAAATTTCAACACGTTTTGCCCTGCTTGCAAATTTTAATGTATTATGAGTTTCCTCCATATTACTGGATGCTGGTGTAACCGTACATATGAGCTAGGCAGAAAAGAATTAAAGAACGTGTTAGAGATAAATTATATGGTAATGAAGTATCTCTATTCTTCAACGTTTTCAACCAGTAAAAGAACACTAAAAACAATGCACAAAAACAATGAATGAGGGAGAGAATATGCATTTCAACATGGACTTTTTGTCAAAAGAAATGAAACAACATACAATCCGTCAATCAACCTATACACATCATAAGATTTGAAATGTGTTGCATGGTTAAAAGTTTATCAGGCTTACTGAAACAAGTCCGTGCCCACTTAGCGATGATTGTAGGAGGCGGGTGAGCTTTGAATCCCGATAAGGAACATGTGATGCCTTACCTTCACTCAGTTTTCCAATTACCTTCACATTTTTGACATTGTCAAAACATGAGAGGAAAACAAAAAAAAGAAGAGTTAATTAAAATTGTAACCTAGAAAAGATAATCTCAAATCCAACCCCATATTAATTCGAGATAGAGTGATAGAGAAAGAACATGGTGCTATATTGAAAAGGAGAGAGAGAAGCTATAAAAGATCGGCAAAGATAATGTTCAGATAACGACAGAGAAATCTATATACTCACAGTTCCAAGTGTAAGAAGACTTTTATTGATGTATGATCCTTCCTTTCTCCTTAACCCTGTTGTTTCAGTTTTTGAGCTTTCTGAACCCGCTAAATCAATTAAATTCTAAACCAAAGTGGCAAAATAACATATGAGATTTTATTATAGAGAAGCAAGAAATTCAATTCTGATTAACAAAAAATATAAAAATATTCGAACTCAAAATAAAAATTGAATGTGCATACCAACTGAGAGTATATCACTCCATCATAATCGTCTCCAGGTGCACTACTTTCGATCATCTGCAACGAAAATGAACAAACAAATTACATTAGTGACTACCAAAACTTAAGAGCCGGAAGTAGAAAAACAAAGAAAGAAAAGAGAAGTACAAGTGCTTTTTGCACCACAAGAAAAGTCGAGGTACATCAAGAATATAGTTCAGAAACATAGATACATGCATGAAGAATGTATTGTAGCAACAATTTGGAAAGTCCAGTTAATACAAAGAAAACTAAATATTTCCAAATTGGCTTGGTGCCACATAAGGTTAGCTGAAAGCTATTTGTTTACAACTCCTGTCAAGTTCATTTACTGATTCATCGCTTTTCATTCATTATCAAATATCAAAACTAACCAAACAAGAGCCCTGTACCATGAGTGATATGTAAAGTTGAATGCGAACACTACCTAGTTTGTCCATTCGATATAGAGTTTTCTTAGTTTCTAAGGCGTTTTCTAATTTATTTATTATATTTACATTTTTATAAAAAATTAAACATCCATTAACGGCATGTTTGGGATAGCTTCTGCTGTCGCTTTTTTAGAAGAACTCTCTGAAGAAGTCACATTGGATCATCTTCCTCTAAAAGATCTTGTCGACATTAGAAAAAAGCACTTCTAGAAAATTAGCGTCAAAAGCAGCTTAGTCTCATAAATAGCTTTTGGTTTTTCAAAAGCCATGCTAAACAATCCCTACGTTACTAAATTTTATATCTATTTTGTATATGTATTTACTTCCATAAGCAAGAATACTGGTAGAATTTGACCATTAACGCCCTTTTGGGTCCAAGCTTACGAGAGAGCATATAAGTTTCAAATTAACAAACACTATGGTTGTGTTTGGTGCACTAAGTACATAAATGATATTATGGTCGACTAAGGTGGATAATATTCTTTGATCTTTTAGTAAAAGAACTGCCATTTATACTAGTTATCTTATTAGGTGTCTAAAACCATTTTCGTTCTCTGCGTTATGTTATTCAGTTGATAGTACAAATGGCATTTTTTATCCATCTAATTCCTCTATATTACCAAACACCTACAACTATCTATTCTAATTTTATACTAAATTCTTTATACAGTCTACTACAGTTCACCAAACGTTGTCAAAAAGGAGGGTGAGCAGTTCAAACTACACATAACCTTACAAGAATATTGTTATACATATTCACAAAAAATGACTAGAAGTGACAGAGAAAAAAGATATGAAAGTTGAATACAAAAAAGATAAAACCATAATGTACAGCTCAGCAAAGTATTGATCCAAGTGCAACATACATACCAATGTGAATATGGTATGACTGCGACTGCTGAATAAGTTAAAATTATTTGAACCAACATGTCGGTGCTCTGCCATCATATTAGAATAAAGTTAAAAATAGTAATTTAATCAACCACTCAATCAAAACATATATACATATATACAACTAGGCAAATTAAGAGAAGTAATAAAAATAGATGATAAATACCTTCTCCTGCAGCAATGAATGAAAGTGCATGTCCAGGGGACAGAATTACTTCTTCTTTTATGCCCTCAACATAAGTACCCTGTGCAGCATTAAAAGGTTAAATAAATCAGTGAATAGGAAATTAGATGAGTGGAAACAAAAACTAAGTTGTTTTAGCTATTATTATCATAAGGCTTTAAGTATCAGATAAATTTAAATTGAACCATGGAAAATGCATTGAAAATGGAAAGCAAAATAGAAAGTTTGGAGTTTGAGAACATATAACACCTTCAACTATTAAATAAGTATCAATCCAAGAAATATGAGGAACAACATATTTGATATTCAGAGGGCAAGAATATAATATAATATGCAGACTAAACTGCTCCAGAAATTAAAGAGGTATGTCAGATATTATAAAAAAGCTCAAGAGTTGATTTGACAACTTTCCCTTGTTTATAGGATTGTTGATACCATTCAAGGCATGGAAGATCCAGAAGAAGTACAGGATACAGCAAGATCATTCATCAGAATTTTGTGGTCATGGGGAGATACATTGTTGAGCAGAAGAAAAAATTATAAAAACAAAAATAACAAGATATCTTGTTATGACAAAAAAAAAATAGAGAGAGAGAGAGAGAGAAGAAAAACCTGTGCATCTTCTCTCACTCGCAGACTTTGACCAGTTGGGTCCAGCAAATCATTAATCACCTGAAATTAGAGATATAGGCAAATAGATCTTAGAAGAACTTTAAAGCAAATATGGTATATGCTGCATTTCCACAAAAGTTCAGTGTATTATATTACAATTCAGAAAATGCAAGTGCATAAAGTAGGAAAACTATACTATAAAAAAATTCTTCTGATTTATTTGCACGAGACAAAACATTTTTTTTATGACATGGCATGAATTTACAAGATACTATCATGTTAGGTATCAAAGACAAAGCCAGCACCTGATGAGCCAGCGCGCCTGCCAGTGCCGGCTCCGTCAGAAAAAAAAATTACATATTAATGAAATTTTGAACTTAAATATTTTTTAACTGTACTAATTTAAAACGAAAGTAGTTGTAGCTTAAATGGTAAAGCGCTTGTTTTGCATGTGAAAGGCTCCCATTCGATTCCTCTCACCTCCACTTCTTCTTTTAAATTTTTAACATAATAAATCATTATTAAATAACTCTATATTATATGGTTTTCATTTACTTCAACGGAAGTGTTGTAGCTCATATGGTAAATTGCTTGCTTTGTATGTGAGAGGTATGGGGTTTGATTCCCCTCACCTCCACTTCTTATTTTAATTTTAAGACAATAAATAATAACTAAAGAATTATGTATTATTAGTTTTTGTTTTTAAAATAAGTTCTTTAAGAAATTTGTTGACTCAAATTATTACTTTATAATACTTTTACTGTTAGGTTTTATCAATTTATTTTGTAAAATTCAAATTTGAACCATCTAAGTATTGGTTTTTATTCTTTTAAGAGTTCAAAAAACACTTTTCTTTTTGGGGGTAAAAAATAACTCTAAAATTTACAGTTTTAAAAACCTTGCATAGGCTTCGCCTGAGCTCGGAGCTCGTCATTATCATTTAATCATATTACATCTTATCTCACTTAACTTCATAAAAAATTGAAACTTGATCGTACATATATGATTCAAAAAAATGTATTTATATTTTTTATTATTTTGGGTTGCACTGAATTATATTTTCATAGATAATTGATTTTTACATTTTAATGCATTTATATATTGATTGAAGATTCTTTTAATATAAATTAATGAAATATTAATAAACAATCTTGCTATATTGGACGATGGCTCAATGGCCGCTCAATGCTCCACCCTAGCTCACTAGAGCGGCTGGATCCTTCCCTGTTAGGTATGCTACTATTCCATTGCCAGAAAATTTGCTATTAGATAATCTAATACCAACCTCATTGTAGATTTCTAGATATGATACACGAAGCAAGAATTCACGACCAGGGGTCTGCAGGAAAATCAACACCATAAATTGACAAAGGAAATTATTGTTTTTTAGGGTATATAAATATCTAAGTAGAATAAATACACAAGCATGCATGGTGTTCAGTGGAAAGATAAAGACGCAACAGATTAAAAAATTATCAAGCAGGCTTACATCCTGAATAATGCTGAAGACATCCTTTATAGCCAGAGGTATAATGCCTGGAGAATATTGATCTCCCTAATAAGACATGACAAAAGGCCCAGAATTCATAACAGCACATAAATTCATTGTACTCGAGGAAATATAATTTCAGTTGACAGAGGAAAGCAGAATAAAAAGGCAGTGTGATATTAAATTATAAAACAGCAGCCATGAGCCATATCTAAATGCAATTAGCCCTGTTTGGAACACATTCTTTCAAAATACATTTTTTCAAAACTCATTTTCAACCCCACATTATTCAATAAAATAACATTTTCCATCACATCAATAACTTTTCCTTACTTTTTTAACCACACATTTCTCATCATATCACTATTTAAAATACATTATTTCCTCAATAATATCCATCAAACACACCCTAATAACAAATATCTCAAGCTCCTCCCCTGAAAAAAAAATCTTTACGCAAGCCTGCAACAAAAATGTTAGTAAAAGTGGATTTTGAGTCTTTACTTTTGGATTTTATAACATCTTCAACCAATATACACCAACAGCAGGCGTCTCTAGATCAATTACAATCAGAACAGGATGCTAAGATATATATCCCGACAAGATGCCAATGCCAACATCTATATAGTACTGTCACTCCCCAACACATTACTCTATAATACAATATGCATAGGACTTGGATGCAGTCTACTGTTTTAACATTAACAACTGCCAATTTGAGAAAATAACAGATAAAAGGAGTTTCTAAAGTCTCTAAAACAAGAATCTCCTAAGGAAATAGAATAAGGATTCGCAATGAAAGAATTAACTTACATGCATAGTGTGTGTTTTTCCACTACTCGTAACACCATAAGCAAATACAGTTCCTGAAATATCAACTCAGCCTAGGTCAGTCCCAAAAATTAGGAAAGCGTCTTGTCATTCAATTGCAACGTCAAATTCCATGCTAGTCACTTATAATCTTAGCACTAAGCAAGTACCATCTGGGATGTACTTTTTTTAATGAACCTTGAGATAAATTTTTGAACTGAAACTTAAGAAGTTTATTCAGGAAAAACAATAATTAAAAACTAATTTATAGTTGAACGTGCCATTTATGCCCTCCATTGCACCCTTCACTACAGGTCGAGCAGCCACTTCATAAACTTCATCCGTAATTGTATCATGTCCAAAGACCCTATCTGTCACAGAAGAAAACAAATAAACTTAGGTTGCAAGTCCTGGTGAAGCAATTAGAATGTAAAGATGTAAAGCCAAAACTGTTTATCACAATGTGTAGCCACAAAGATAGTAAAATATAGACTCATATATTGCAGTTTAACCACCAAAACTGGTCCATTGATTTCACAAAATTGCAACTCCAAACAGCCATATCTAAAGTACTAAATTGTTAATACCAGCTAAAGTCAATTGACCGCTTCAATTTACTAGCATTCTTGCAAAAAATTACTGACAGAGGAAGAGAGACGATGAAAGGACAAAGAATTGTACCGAATGCATAGGCAGTCATGGGATTATAATCATTCCTTACAATTTTATCGCCTTCTGGATGCCACGCAATTTCATCCCCTCTCTGATATTCCCTTTCACTGTCACCACGAAACCAATGAACTCCAATTATTCTTCACATTGTCTTCGAGCCCCAAATACAATACCCAAAATTTCCCAAATAAAAATCTTAAAAAATCAATACAAACAGATCTAACATTTAACTAATTCACCTCATAGGTCGGAACCTAATAGTCACTGAAATGCTTTCCCCTGATCTCGAAGTAGTCTCTAGCGGTTCCCCAATCAGCTGGTCATCAATTAACGGGTAACTGACCGGCGTACAGTTGTTGTATCCTCCTGAGTACCCGGCATCAACCATACTCATGGATCTAGACCCAGATTCTCCACCTCCATAAAATGACGTCGCCGCGGAGGAGGAGTCCGAGCGCGGCAAGACACGGCTGCCGTTCATCAAAGACGAAGTGGATGACATGGATGAGTTCAAACTCGACGGCTTCCCGTTGTTGAACGGTGAACTGCTCCTCCCTCTCGAAGATGATGCCGCCATTGCTCAAATATACGAAAATTTATCACCCAATCAATGCTTATACATCAATGTATGTATATCTCTCCAGATGGCAGATTTAGTAAATCTGTAAACCCAAGTACATTGTTCGATTTCAAAAACAAAAATGGGTATTTCAGCAGAAATCCAAATTCCCAATTTCCAAAGAAGGTTTACTAGAAAAAATTCCACACAAGTGCGTGTTTTTGTGTGTGAGAGAGATAAGAGAGAGACCTTTCTTCTTCTTTAGGACAAAGGGGAGAGAGAGAGAGAGAGAGTAATGAGTGAAGAGGAGATGAACTGGTAAGGATTTGTTTGGTATTTTATATTTTTTTGAATTTAAATGCGTTGGATTGAAGTAGTGGGAAATAATTTTTAGCTAAAAAATAAAATAAAATAAAAAGAAGTTAGCTGGACAGCTCTTGGGTCTCATTCATTCCTATTTTTGTTGCCTTGCTTGCATATATTGAGATCGTATTATTCATAGATGAGCCACAAATGCAATGTGTTAATATCGTCTCTTAATAGTTAGGCCAACTTAAGATTGAAAATAAACAAATTTACACAAGAATAATTGAAATACGGAAATATATATGATTTATAGATCTCAAAAATTTCGTGGACTTGAAATTGAAACTGAAAAAATTTACACGGTAATCATTGAAATGTATGGATAACAGATAAGTTGTAAATGAACATTGGATGCAATGTGTTGACATCCATGAACTTGAAATTAAATACAAATAAATTTACACAAATCATTGAAAGGTAGAGATAACAAATAAGTTGTGGAATTTATCCTTAAATGATGTGAGAGTTTACAAATGCAAGAGAAAGATAGACATATTTAATAAAACACGCAAGTTGTGCATCTTCAGACCTTGAGATAAGGGTCCCATTGTTCAATAGTCCGAGATCCTTAGAATTCGAAGTTTTTGCCATCAAAGCACTCAAGATCGAGTTGAGCAACTTCCTCAATCGTGTTCGTTTTTTGTTGAGTCAAGTCAACAGTGATACAACTCATGCATACGTATTAGTCACTATAGGTTGGACCTAACGTGAATTAATATCGTCTCTTAATAGTTAGGTCAACTGAACTGATAGCAAGCAGGTAACTTTGACCACTTCAGTTTTCCTCCATCAAATCTCTCTCCCGTCCCTCCAACCGCCCCAAAAAAACCCAATGTGCTCACCGAAGGATGGGAGCTTTGACTCCCCCCCTCCCCTTCCTTCTCCCTCCAGTTCTTTTTGTTTTGTGTTGTCTGTATTTAGTTTTGTTTTGCAGGCGAATAAAGGGAGGAGTGCAGCCTGGGTCCCGTCCAAATGTCAACCGCTTACACGCGCACCACCTAGACATTGGCCAGCCGTCGATCTTCAAGCCTACCGGACGTATTCTCAAACCTCTCCAGCAAGTGGCGGTCGGGTCTTCAACGACCAATCGTCGGCTTTCCTCCTATGTGGTGTTTATTTTTGCAAGCGCCTCGACCTCTTCGTTTTATGGTTTGTCGCTCTGGTCTCCGGAGATGTGTTTGGTTTTTTTTTTCAGACCTTTGTTTTGACTTGAGTAAGGTGAAGAGGCTTTTGATCGGTCGCACTCTAGGGCAAGTGCAGGTCTAGAGTGGAGGACGTAGTATAGGCCGGTGGCCATACGGCTGGCCTCCGCTGTGGAGGTTGTGGTGTTCTATACGCGAGCCGAGTACTCGTGTCGTCTGCGTTCGCGTTACCGATGACTACAGTGGGTGTTCCGTCGAGGCTTTTTACCCTTGCTTGTGGTCCTTCTGTTTTGTTGTAGCTTTTGTTATTTTGTTTGTATTTGTGTTGTAATTGGCTTTTGGACTTAGAGTCCATAACAACAGCGTGACTCTTGTTTAGATTGGTCTCTCTCTCTCTCTCTCTCTCTCTCTCTTCGTAGAGATTTAGAAGTTAAGACAATGTCCGCCACTTTATGTGTGGGGGTACTCCAGAGCTGTTTGCATAGGTTGGCTTATAGTCGAGTTTTCCTATATTGATAAGCCACATTTGTAACTTCGTTATGATGAATGAATCTTCCATTCCATTTCAAAAAAAAAAATTAGGTCAACTTAAAATTGAAAATAAACAAATTTGCACAAGAATAATTGAAATATGGAAATATATATGATTTATAGATCTCAAAAATTTCGTGAACTTAAAATTGTAACCGAAAAAATTTACACAGTGATCATTGAAATGTATGGATAACAAATAATTTGCAAATGGACCTTAAAATGCAATGTGTTGACATCGTCTCTCGATAGATTCATGAACTTGAAATTAAATACAAATAAATTTACATGAATCATTTAAACGTAGAGATAACAAATAAGTTGTGGAATTTATCCTTGAATGATGTGAGAGTTTACAAATGCAAGAGAAAGATAGACATTTTAATAAAACACGCAAGTTGTGCATCTTCAAACCTTGAGATAAGGGTCCCATTGTTCGATAGTTCGAGATCCTGAGAATTCGAAGTTTATGCCATCAAAGCACTCAAGATCGAGTTGAGCAACTTCCTCAATCGTGTTCGTTTTTTGTTGAGTCAAGTCAACAGTGATACAACTCATGCATACGTATTATTCACTATAGGTTGGACCTAACGTGATTTTCTTTCTCTGTCTACGAGAATTCGAACTCAACACCTGTCAATATCAATTGAGCAAGTTAAGCACCTTGCTAAATAATATGTGCAAGTGTGATATCAGCAAACCATACATGGACCATCGTCAAAGATTATAGCGTTACACATGAGTTCTACTTTACATCATATGAAACTCTCAACTGTCTAACTCTTTTACTGTAATAGAGGTATTGGTCTCTCTAAATCGGTTTTTTTTACGTTATAATTATTTTTTTATAAAATACTTAAGAGTTGAGCTCTTATGATCTTGATATCAATAACTCGTCTCGTTCAAATTTTAAATTAAGTGTTTGTATGATTATATTATAGAAATAGATCACATAAAATATGTAGATAATAAGTAAATAGTAATTGTGAATGTATTATTAAAATTAATGTTTGACTCTGCTTCAAGTTATAAGGAACTTACATTAAAACCCAACAAGCTCTAAATTAAGGTTATGTGCCAAGTCTGTAATTTTTTATAGTTACCCATCCATCATAATTTGCATATACAATGCAATTATTTATTTATTTATTTTAGGAGGAACTTTTATCCTTCCCCAATTGGTTTAGACGCATTTTTAATATCGTTAAGAGCATCTTCAATGGTGCTCTAAATTATATTAAATTGTGACTTAAAATTTCAATGTGGATTATGTAAATTTACATATATTTTTAAATCTACTTGTGGAACTCACAAGAGACAAAAAACTATCAATTCACTTGTAGCTAGTTTTTTTTAAAAAAAATATTGAAATAAAATTTGAATTTAAATCCATCGAGATTTAATGAAGATTAAAAATAATTTTAAAGATATTAATTTACACTTAGGGCTCGTTTGATTCTCATTATTGTAGAATGAAAATGAAAAATATAGCCGTTATTAGGCCTCACACAAGAGATAGAAATTCAAAATTGATGGTTTGATGTGATGGATAATGACCATATTTTTTATTTTTATGGATGAAAAACGAGAAACAAACGGGGCTTAATTCTACATCATGGCACTAAGATTCTTGTGTTCAGTTAGATGACAATTTGAGGTTTGATCTACTACCAATCAACTTTTTTAAAAAACGATGCACGTGATGATGCAGTGGCGCAGGTGCACCCACATATTGGACTCTACAATTAATATTTTATACTCCAAAAAAAGAATTTCAAGAATGAGCCTCAAAATTATATGCTATAATTGATTCTTGAAATGTGTGTCGGTGTATTTAACATAGGTGTCAAACATATGATTCGAGTCTATTAAGTATATTATAAATTTTTATATTTAATTGATTATTTAGTTTAATTTCACAAGTTATGTCATCTATATCAGTGCTGAAAATCAGTCGTGTTAAATAACATTAGTCATAAAAAAAATTACGTACAAGGTTCGTTCGATGTTTAAAAAAAATGAAGTTTACTTTTTGAAAACGTTTGGAGTGCATTTAGTTTGTCGTTTTAAGACTGTTTTTAGTTTTTAGTTTTGTAAGACATCGAAAACATGTTTGATTGATTATTTTTGAAAACAATATGAAATATATAACGTAAAACTCAAAACGCATTTTTATCGTTTTGAGTGTTTTCAAAAAATTCAAAACAAGAAAAAAGAACTTAAAAATTCCTCAAATTAAAAGAATTAATAAATCACACAAAACTTACCCAAATTCAAATACCCATCTCTCTCTCTCTCTCTCTCTCTCTCTTCCCAAGAGCCCTGAAGCCCAAGAACCCCATTGGAGAATCCATCTTTCTGGTGCTATTTCTCAAGGCTCAATTTCCAGTTTCTCAAATGGTTACTCTCCAATTGATTTTGTTTCATATGCCAACCGCACAATTAAAAATCAATTTTAATTAGGAAGGAATAATGTAAGTATTATGAACTTTTTGGTGAGATTTTTAGGGGGACTATAGCTACGGGAAGGTTAGGCAATGATTCCACTCAGCTTCCTAATTCTTAGAGCACATCATTAATTTTTTTTATTTATTTAATTCTTTTCCCAATTCAAATTATTATTTGAGAAACAATTTTTCAGAATGACAAACCTAACACATGTTTTACAATTTTAAAACAGACGCTCAAAATAAAAAATTGAAAATGAATTTAAAACTGAAAATTGAAACACAAACTAAACGTAACCTTATTTTTTCAGCATTTTGCAAATGATTGAAGCCATGTATTGGAAATTTCAATTTTAAATACTACATGTTGATTAGCGTTATGATAATTTTTATCTAATGGAAGTGATATCAATAAGAAAATGAACCCACAATTTATATTTTATTTTTACTTCTTATATAAGAGTTTCTTAACGAAATTACCTCAAGTTATTTTTATATAATAACTCTTCTAACTAAAAAAAATAAAATCATT